TTTCCCTGGAGTTTCAGGGTGAAGGTAACAGGCTGTGTTATATGGGGATGAGCATGGAGCTTCAAGTTCCTGTGTGTGCCAGCAAGCAGGACTTACCACCAAGCACACTGAGAAATGGAGCCTGGAGCTGTGGAGACTTCAGGGAAGGGGGATTGGGAGTGTTGAATTGCAAATTGTTCTTCCCATTTTTCCCATGGTTAGTTACTTCTCTATTTATGGACTTGGAGAGGACTTTGCTTCTTGCTAGTTATGGGACCTGGTGGGTGCTTTTTAGGGTCCTCTGATCTTCCTTTTTCAGGGTAGTTAGTCACTGCTGGTTTATAGGGATGTACATAATTGCCATCTTGTCTCCTTCTCCCTTAATTTCTTGGTATGTAATTTTATGATATATTTGTTTAATATTGCTATTTACCAGTAGACTGTTAGCTCCTTAAGAAACAAACCTCAATTGTGCTCTCTAGTCCTTGGCAGAGTTCCTTTTGATACTCAATCAGTATCTTTTGAATGAATAGCTCCTCTAGCCTAAGCAGTTGTTGTTTTCTTTTGTTTGTTTGTTTTGGTAGTACTAAGGTTTGAACTCAGTATCTCTACTATTGAGCCATGCCCCTAGTTCTTTTTTAAGTCTTGGCTTATTTTTTTGTGTAGGGTCTCTGATTTTTGCCCTGGACCATGAATGGCCTATTACTTCTGGCCTCTCACCATAGCTGGGATCACAGTCATGAACTCTTCTTGTTTTATTTATTGACAAGCTTTCACTAACTTTTCCTAATGTGTTGATATGGGGGTCTCAATAACTTTTTTTTTTTTTTACCCAGGCTATCCTCAAACTTTGATCCTTCTGAACTCTGCTTCACAAGTACTGTGATTACAGGTGTGAGCCATTGTGTCTGGCTACCAATTACTGTTTTCTATGCAATCTCACTTACTGTCCTACAAGGACTGATTTGGACATACACTGGGAAAAAGTGTCTCTAATGAAAAGTAGGAGAGTTTTCCCATTGTATTTTCTATGCCTTCCTCTATGCCCAGTGAGTGGAGAGGGTGGGATATGTGTATGCTCCAGGCACACTATTTGACAGTATGAGTTCGGGGTCATATTTCTTCCCTTTTTGTATTTGGATAAAAGGCCAACACACATCACTGGATATTTTAGTGCCCACTGGAACTTAACCAATCAATGTGAAGCACACACTTCTGGTAGGACTAACTGTAAAAAAAGGGTCTGAACTACCTTCTCTACAATAAGTAGATGGACCTTTGTAAGAACTAAGATAATTTGTTCTGAGGAGACTGGTAGACTGTGATCTATCCTGACAATCTCTTGCTCTTAGAATGTTTTTTAGCACAGAGAGCTTGTGCATGTTTTGTTAGGTTTATATCTCAGTTTTTCAACTTTCTCCTAGCTATTATAAATGACATTGTTTTGTAAATTTTGATGTCCCATTATTCATTGCTTGTGTATAGAAATAGTTGAAATTTTATTTTTGTTTGTTGACCTTGTATTTTTTGGCCTTATGAAACTTACTTATTAGTTCTAAGAGTAGTTTTGTAGATTACCTGGATTTTTAAAAACTACAATCAGACTGTCTGCTTATAAACAAGAACAGCTTTATTTTATTCTTTCTGATTCATAGGCTTTTTCTTGATGTACTGTATTAAGATTGCCATTGTAATGGAAGAGAGGTGACAGTGGACGTCTTTGTGTTTTTCCTGGATGGGAGGGTCACATTCAGTCTTTCATCCAGTGTGGCAATAGCTGTAGGCTTTTTGTAGATGCTGTATATATACCAGCTTAAAGAAGTTTGCTTCTATCACTACTCTGCCAATTTCTTTATTATGAATGGGTGTCATATTTTATCAAGATTTTTATATGGCTGCTTATGTAATCCTCTGTTTTTTTCCTTCTTTAGACTTTTAATGTGGTCAATTACATTACTTGACTTTTTAGCCATCACTTGTTTTCAAGATAAACCCCACTTGACTGAAATCCATCATTTTTGTGTGTTGTTGGATTTGATTTGCTAATATTTTGCCAAGGAATTTTACATCTATATTCCTGAGACATGCTTGTCTATAGATTTCTTTTTTTATACCTACTGTCTTTGATTTTGATATCAGGATAATGCTGTCCTTTAGAATGAATTTGGAAATGTTTTCTTCTCTTGGATTTTATGAAAGACATTGTGTAGAATTTATATTATTTCTTCTTCAAACACTTAGTAAAATTTATAAGTTAGGAGAAGTCATCTGGATTTGGAAAATGGTTTTTAAGATTTATTTTTAGCTAGAAATCCAATTTCTTAAAAAGTTATATGACAATTCAGGTTATCAGTTTTATCTTAGGTAAGTTTTAGTGCTTTATGCTTTGTGAGAATTTGACCAATTTATCTGAGTTGTCAAAATTATTCACACAGAATTGTCAGAGTGTTGACAATTAGATGGCCTTTAGTTGTATTAGTTGTATTAGTTGGCCTTTTAGGTGTATCAAAAATTAATAGATTTTCTTAAAACTTTACATGTTTTTATTTTTTGGTAGATAGGCTTTCTTTAGGCTTAGTCGATTCTTGAACCTGGACATTGTGAGACACTGAGCGATTTCTGTTCTTTTGTCAGGATCTCAATGTTTCCTCCCTCTAGATCAAGAGAGAGCTTATATTTCCTCTCCCTAAAAGTACAGGAAGAAAAGTAGCAACTTATCCCTTAAATAAGAGAAGATATCCTTTTCTAAACTCAACATTTTTGACACAGAAACACCCCAAGTGTCAGGAAATGTAAGGCTTCTCTGTGGTGGCATCTGCAGAAGGAAAACTCAAAACCTTCTATTGCCCTTTTCTTTTCATTGCTGCCCAGTGAAACTTCTCAGACCTACTATGTTAGAAAGCCAGGTGAAGGGTAGGGACTAGGGAAGCTTTATATTTAAAAGTTGACTTTAATGCTCATTAGGATTGAAGACCAGTGGTGACAGCAACATTCCTCCCAAAAGAAAGAACCTTATTTTATTCTTGGTGATATTAGAAGAAACATGAAATCAGAAGTCAGAGTATTGGAATTGATTTGGGCTTTGATGCTACCTAGCTAGGACTCCAGGGACTTAAATTTTGCTGAGTTTAACATTTGTTAGTCTTACATGGTTAGCAAAGGAGCCATTATTTGTTTTTGAAGGCAGTTACTCTTTTCTACCATGAAATTTCTTCAACTAATAGAAATATACACTTGTCCTCTGTAGCAATGCTGCTTGGAAAAGACAAGATAAATTGTATCTACGTAAACATTCCATCTAATGCTGTGGTGTTTGCCTAGACCCCTCTGAAGTTCAAGTTCAAGTAAAGAAATGCTGCTTGGCAGCACCATGTGCAAGTGTGAAAGGAGGCATTTGACCCTGATGGGAAGGGAAGGTACTCAAAGTAATGAAAGACTCTAAATAATTTAGAAAAAAAGCATATTTATTAATGTGAATTTAATGGATTAACTACTTCCCTGCTTTTTTTCTGAGCATGTAACATTTTGAAACATCACATAATTTTTTCAAACTTCTAACATATACAACATAATCCATATGATTTTTTTATTTGTATGTATGTTTGCTTGTTTGTCCATTTTTGTGTTTTGAGACAGGGTCTCACTCTGTAGCCCAGGCTGGTCTCTCATGATCTTTCTCCTTCAGCCTTCCGTGCTGGGTTTATAGACATGTACCACCATGCCTGGCTTCCTCATGGTATTTTATAAATGTAAACAACATAAGTCAGGTATATAGAAATGTGTCCAGAGTTTCTATAAAGTAGAGGTGTGGCAACTATGGCTTATGGGTATCATCTATTTTGAAGATAAAGTTGTACTGGACTGTAGTCAATTTATGTATTCTGTCTAGTTGCATTTGCATTATATGCAGAGTTGAGAAGTTGAGACAGACTTTACAGCTTGCAAAGTCATACATAGTTGCTATCTAATCTTTTGCAGAAAAGTTAGTCACCATTGCTATAAAATCTAAAACCTTATTTTTGGTGAAAATCTGAGAAAAAGAATTAAAGCCTTATGAAACACATCTTACTTCCAGCTTGAAAATAATTTTTAATCACTTTAAAAAACTTCAACTACCTAGCTTGGACTTTTGGCAATTGAAATAGAGTCTCTGTATACTAAATAATAATACCAGCAAGATTTTATTGGTCAAATGATGTTAAAACAACCCATACTCTCTTTACAGAACATCAATAGGATTTCAAGTAAAACTGCTAATAATTAGGAAAAGATTAGCTTAGGTTTTACAATTACAAACAAATCAATAAAGTAGCTCTGTTTTCTAACACGTTATCATTATTAAAAATCCATCTTTACAAATCATCAATAAACTATGCATAATTGTGGATTACTGTGTAAACCATTGTCAGCTGTGTAAAGTTCTAATGTGTCCCTTTAAAGTTACAATGTAGATGAATTGAGCAAGAAGGGAGAGTTTACTTCTTTAGCCCATTTGTCTATGGTTCTACCTTTTCATGCTAATGGTTTCTTCCATCCTCTTGTGGGGCTTATGTAGAGATTCTAGATTTCTATTCAAGGTGGCTTGCTGTGCCTTGGAATCTATCGAAGATTATCTATCCAGTGTTCAGAAATCACAGTATTTCTCCTAGGTTAAACAGCAACCTTGATGTAATGGAGAACTGTATGTTTTCTTCACTAAGCAAGAAACTAGGATGGCTGTTGCTGACTTTTGGACCCAGTTATATACTTGGCCAAATTGGTGCCAAGACTTTTACTTAAGACTTTGTTCCATGTCTGTTTGTCTACTGGAGGTCATTTGGAAGCACAAATTTCTCCTGAGTGCTGTGAGTATCAATGTATGGGTGCAGAGGTAAAATGTATCCTTTCAAAGTTTATAATCTTTTACTAAGATATACATGATTTCAGTTATTGTGCTGCATATCTTTGCAGATTTTTGGTGTTTTGATGCAAGACTCAGTTACCACAAAGTGAACTGACACTTGTTTGAAATTCTAAACTTGCTTCAGCTGTGCCTTGGATGAGGGTAAGAGGAAAGGTCTCTAGCTTATGACACATCTGGGCCTGGGTCTTTCCATGTTCTTCTTGAGATTCTGTATCTCATTATGAAGCTGTCTGCTCTCCTCTTTGAATCCCTCCTTTAGTAGTCGGGCTTGTTCCTAAAAAAAAAAGACAAATGGAAACATAATAAACCAGAGCATTTAGTAAATCCCATATTCTACCTGTTTTTCATATTCATTGATTTTTTTTTTATAGCAGTACTGGGCTTTGAACTCAGAGCCTCACATGTGCTAGGCAGGTGCACTACTACTGGAGACATACCCTCAGCCCTTTTTACTTTGGTTGTGTTTGAGACAGGGTCTTGCATTTATTCGTCAGGCCAGCCTGGACCACAGTCCTCCTATCTACACTTCCCACCTTGGATGGCAAGGAGCTGGAGGAGTGGCTCAAGTGGTATAGAGCCTACCTATCAAGTGTGAGGCTCTGAGTTCAAGCCCCAGTACTGCAAGATATTTATGTATATATACATGTACATATATACATAAATACATATACATCTGGGGTGATAGGGCATGTGCCACTACATCTAGGTTTTATTGGTTGAGATGGGGTGTTGGGGAAAATTTTGTCTAGGCTGACTTTGAACCACATCCTCTGGATGTCTACCTCCTGAAGAGTTAAGATTTCAGGCATGAACCACTGTGCTTGGCTTTGTTGATTTTTCAGTATTTAATTCTTAATGAAATTTCTCTACTCTTTTTAATTATATTTTTTCTTGGGCAGATGAGCTCTGTGATTGCTTTTCCTTGGCATCCTTTACCTAAGAAATAGTTGCAACTATACCTCCTCATATGAAGCTAAATTATTAGTGTTGGTTTTCCCCCCATTAATTGTATACAAGCTGTGTGGGAAATCTTAATCATATGTTTGGCTTCAAATTTTGTCCATGCCTTATAGACTCCTTATATCCACCTACACATTTTATTATATACCTAACACAGAAATAAACTATTCTCAAAATCTAATGAATGTCTGATTCTTAGATAGGACATTTGATCTCAGTCTCCACAACTTGGTAGTCAGAGTGGCAGAGATAGATAAGGAAATTACCACACCGAATTTCTGCACATAACTCCCAACTCAATACAAACTGGGAGGTATGAGGTTGGTGTGGCAGACTTTCATACAGGCATGAGGGTTAAGGAGTCCTTCTGTTAGTAAATGTTCCCTTAGAGCTAAGTCAGCAGGTATGACAGAAAAAAAAATTGTGAATTCCACTATGTGGCAAAAGTAGCCTAGATATTTTACCAGCTTTGTGATCTTACAAAAATTATTTAATCTTATTTGAATATTTTTGTTCCTTCTCCTAACTAATAAGGATATGATTCTTGCCTCAAATAATCTTAAGCAAGAGTTATCAATAAAATATTTTGATGCATAGTTAGGAAAAGCTTACATTAGTTGAAGGATATGTTGATAAAGGGCAGAATGTGATGCCATTGGAAATAAAAGCCACAGATGGACAGCTGATGGTCAGACAGACACACAGGAATCAAAAAGCAGCAAGGAAGGTACTTTTTAGGGATTCATGTTCTGCCTTGCCACACCAAGTTTTTGTGATGAAGAATGGAGAGAAAACAGAAAACAAAAGCCTCAACATGGTACAGTTGAATACCTGAAGTTTCAGAGCAAGAGTCTTTTCTTGCTCTGCCATCAATTGGGCCCTTTCCGTGTTCATCCTCTCAGTCAACTGTCTCAAATGTTCCTGGTAACTCTTCTCTTTCTGTTCCATCATCTGCTCATTTTTCTTCTGCATTTCCTCCAACATTTTTGCTGCAGCCTGTGCAGATTCAGCTTTCACGCGTTCCACTGAGGAGGCAAAGGAGGCAGAAAAATGTTAAGTGGGGCTACCACGCTGCCTTGCCTGCTTCAACCTCATAAGCTTCCTTGCTATTGCTGCTGCTGACTGTGTATGCTTTACTCAGGTTTGATGTCAGAAAGTGAGACACATCTTTGCTCTTCTTGCTATAGTTTAAGGATCCCTGGCTTACTTTGTCAAATAATTTAAACATTTTAGAGCTTTTTACACTATCTACTCTCTTGACTTGTTCCTCACCTTCAATTTCCTTTTCCTTTTCTGAGAGAGTCTGGTCTGTCTGTAGGATTGCATCAGTCACATCCTCCTTGGACTGCAAATATTTCTGCAGAATCTCTTCAGCCTTAGGGTCCAGAGAACATGGAGTTAACAACAGGAAATGACTATAAGCATTTGTTCCTATCTGTCTCCCCACCATCTTTTCCTCTTAATTGTTCTTCTTGGGCCTGTTCTGCCTGGTGACCAAGATTGCCTTTTACAGGAACTGGCACATACTCTAGGCTGGCTGGTCCATGCACTCCACTAAACAATGTCTTTTGTAGGAGCCTCGTACGGGGGAACATGGATTCTCTCTCTTTTTAGATTGAGTGCTCTGGGTTTGTAATTAATGGTCCTGTGTTACCAAATGTGGTGAGCCTTCTGGAGAATTAAGCCCTCATGGCGAGAGCAGATCAGAGAAGATAGTGCATAAGGGAGGAAAGTGTGGGGATGGAAAGAGTAATGGACAGAGAGACAAATGATGTCATTTGAAATCATGGAGGTAGCTGTCCTTTAAAGCTAATCTGAAGTCCAAACTGGTGAATTATCATTTTTGTTTAAGGGACCATCATTGTATTTCTGTTCCTTGAACAAAGAATGTCCACCTGTGATGGTTGTTGTCAATAACAACATGGTGGATTCGATAACAATAATGAATCTGATAATTCAATTTGTAACTCAGTAGTTAAGTGAGTACCCTCTCTGGTGAGTATCTAGGACATATCTATTATAATAATCCCCTGTGCAAATTGAATGAAAGCATGAATGTTATGCAGACAGTAAGGCCCCTGTCTGTGCAGTTACACTTAGTGACATTGCTTTTTAAAGGAGGCAGGTCAGCCCCTTCCCAGAATACGTAGATAAATCTTGATTACCTGTATTCCTTTCCTGGGTTCCTCATAGTACTTTTTCTTCAGGTCTTGTATCTTCTGAATAAAGAGTCGATAGCCTCCTGGTTTAGAATATACCCCCTGTTTCACTTCTTCTTCTAGGGGACTGAAAATATCCTGAACTAAACCTGAGCAACGATCTGAAGATGCATCCATATTCTGTTTGCAGAACTCATCCCGCTTTGTTTCTAGATGAGTCTTTTGTAAACATAAGAAGAAAAAAGAATGGAAAAGTTATTAGCTTGAGCTCAGAATTCCTGGGAACACTTCTCAAGAAAACATCTATAACTGAGAAAAACTTAGAAGCATCTCAACAGGACCATATCCTTCCTCCTGATTTCAACTTTCTCATGAAGTCTTATTCTTCTTGGAGGTAAAGTTCAGAGCAGTGATTGCCAGCATTATGTTACACCTTTAGATGTAAATTACTTTTTCAGATTGGACCAATGGCTGCATATGGAATAAACATGGCTCATGGAATAAGCCTGCTTTACAAAACTGTTACTAAAATTTTCTTTGCTTTTGGCTTGCATATTAGATCAGACTGGTAACAGTGTGCATGTAATTTGGTTAGAAGTACTGATGGTTACTTATAAGCTTTTAATATTATTAGCTTATTCATGAAAGAAGTAATGTCTCCCCTGTATAGCTATCCTTATCTCAACCAGCAAAACACTCGTTCCTTCCTATTATTGCTTATATTCTCTCTTCAACAAAATTAGAGATAAGGGCAAAATAGTTTCTGCTGGGTATTGAGGGGGTGGGGTGGGTGGTAAGGGAGGGGGTGGGGGCATGGGGGAGAAATGACCCAAGCCTTGTATGCACATATGAATAATAAAACAATAAGAAAAAATTTGTAAGGCAAAAAAAAAAAGAAAGAAAGAATGTCTCAAAACTTTGAATCCATAATAATAAAATTGTTTTGTTCCAGTTATTATAATTATTAATAGGTAACTGTTACCATTTTAAAATCTACTAATAATTGTCTCCTTCAAAATGAATACTCATTTCATTTTCTCATAGTACTTTGCCTTCCAAAATTCAAATTCATATAAACTTGAAAAAAAAATTACCCCTAATTCCTTTTGAAATACTTGGTCAACATCTTTGAAGGAATTCCTGATGAAAATTTCTATGGCCTCTTTCTCACAAGCCCTGTGCAGGTCCAGCAGTTCCTGGAGGGTTTCTGTGGGCAGCTGCAACTGCTGGTGCATCTGCTGGACATAGTGGGCTGTGGCCTTTTGCACTGCAGCTGCATTCTCGATCTGCGCCAATGCCATAACTGCGTTCTCCATGCAGGGCAGACCCCCACTGCTGATGGCATTGATGTAGGTCAGCACCAAGTTCTGTAAACCTGTAGGTAACGATGCTTGTTACAGATGCAGAAAAATCTCTATTCTGTATAAATTTGAGCAAGTCAGTTATCACCTGTTTGCTTCAAAGCATCAGTGTCCTCAGCATCACTCTAAATTTGCTTGAAATGCAGCATCTCAGCCCTACTCTACATCTACTGAATTTGACTTTCTGCTTTGTCAAGATCCCCCTCACCAAAGGCTGAGAATGTCAGTTCTAGATTATGTAGGCCTGTGTTTATTGAATGTTTGCATCCATTTTAACCAAAGCACCATTTGAACAGGGATCATACCTCTTTTATTTGTTTGTGTATCATTAGTCTATCAATAGTAAGCATTTGATCACTATTGGAATAAGAGATGCTATTCTAATCAGGACTCCTCCATTTGGTTTACTATCATTGTCTTAGAGAACTTTCTGTATATGCTAACACAATAGTTAAGCCACAAGTAGATATGAGCCCTTAAAATGTGGCCATGTGACTTTAATTTTAATTTCTTCCATTTAAATTAATTTACATTTAAATTACATAGCCACACTTGTTTAATGGCTACCATACTGAAGAGTGCAGGTCAGCTTACTAGGACAATTTTAAGCAATAATTTTGTTTTCTTTTGTCCTTTCCTCTCCTTTTCCATAAAGAAATTTGATTAAAATCCATTAGAAATGTTGGTGCCATCTACAGTTTAACACAGTGATGGGGATAGATTTGTATTTTTCAAAGCTGAACTAGGATGATGCTATTTCATGCTTCTTTGGTCTTAACAGTAAGCAGAGGGACTGGGAAGGGAACTCACGAGGTCCATTGACCTTGATGCCTCCTGAGAGAGTTTTTGTTTTGGAGTGGTTGAAGATGTAGGAACAGAATCCTGCCACCTGTTGCACAAATTCAGAGTCTAGCTCATTATCATGCAGTGTCTCAAGTTGACCAAGCTTCTTTCGATGAGCAGGCCTATCGAAGACAAAGCATTTCTTCTTTGGGAAGAACTTCCGGATACAAAGTCGGGGAAGATTAAAGTTTTTATCTTTTTGACTGGTACCTGGAGGAAGATAAAAAAGAGTTTTGCAAAAAATTTTGTAAAGGGCCAAATATTAAATCTTTCATGCTTTGCAGCCCAGATAGCCTCTTTTCTAAGTATTTGACCCAGTTACTGTAGCATGACAGCAACCATCGACAATATGTAAATGAATGGACTTAGCATTACCCAATAAAGCTTATTTCCAAAGACAGCTGGCAGTGCTGTATTAGCTGGCATTTGTCTGTGGGCCATAGTTTTCCAACACTGTTAATGCTTTAATCTGTGCTCTCCACACACACACATTTATTGTACTCTATATTCTTTGTTTAAGTAGAAAATCAAATCCTAAACAGGGAGAGAAAATTAACATAATCATAATAAAGGAAAGGTGAAAGAGAAAGACTTGTTTTTAGAACACAGTAAGAAATAATTTAAAATCAAATCTACTAATTCATGCATTAAAGATGAATTCCTAGAAATAGCCAACTAGAAAACTGTAAATGTAAGAAAACTATAACTAGGGCTGGTGTGTGGCTCAAGTGGTAGAGCACCTGCCTAGCAAGTATGAGGCCCCAAGTTCGAACCCTATTATTGCCAAAATCAATCAATCAACAAATAAATAAATAAAAGAAAACTGTGAATAGAAAAGTAAAAAATACTACTTCCGAGTGTTTTGACATCCCTGTTTACCAATTGTAAGTCCTCGTTACCTTGTACTAGCTTCAGGGAATTTTCCAGGTACTCATCTGCTGAGACAGATTTTCCATCTACCTCCAAGTCCAGGGAGAAGTCTCTCAGAGTCCACACAAAGTCTGGGAAGAAGCTCACAAAGTCAGCTGAATCCTCAACCTCATTCTCCTCAGGTGAGGATTTTGCTCTGATTCGATCTGTCAGCTCTGTCACATAGCTGAGCAACTAACTAAGGAAAACTAGCAAAAAGAATAGGGCTTCCCATCCCATGTTAGTTCCACATATTGCCAAACTTACATTCTGTGATTGTTCTTAACTCAAGTGTCAAAATGCAAATCCTTACCTAAATTATCTGTTGGATAAGACCCATGACATAGAGTTTATTTGTGCTACCTTTATGCATGTGGGGTAACTTGCTTAGCTTACCTACATATTACTAGGTACCTGAATTCTTCCCCTGTACTTGACTTATTTTTATGTTTTCTCTCATTTTTGTTGGATTTGTTTGTATCCAAGAGTCAGCCAGCTGGGTTATAAAGATAGGTCTCCCAGTCTGGACCAAAAAATGGATACTGCAGTTGGTCCATGGCCTGCTGGTTGATGGTTCCCATGCTGTTGTACACAAAGGTGCTGCTCAGGAGTATTGCCAGGGCAAAGATCCAGCTGTCATTCTGGTTGTCACCCTGGAAGTCAGAACACATTTGGGCTAGGAGTAGGTTTGTTCTTATGCCACTTTTCAGAGCAGCTATGGTAAAAATGTGCTCAGTTAATTATAGTTTTGTTTTCTTTTACATTAGTGACCCATAAAAAGAACCCAAATCCAAACCAAAAAGATTGTACAAAGGACTATGAATATTTTTTTAATAAGTATTTTTAATCAGTTACTAGTACTTCTTATGATCATTGGCAGATAATTGCAGAGTCAAACTTGGTGGGCACTCAAAGATCTTAAATACAAAATAAATTTAAAGTGTTCTCATATTTTATAGCAAAATTGACTTATATAAAATACTTATAGCTTTGTTGAGCAGTTATTAAATACCTAAATATTATTTACCAAATTAAATATTGAAAACAATACTATAAGGCAAATACAGAACTATCTCATCCACTAGACAGATCAGAAAGCTGAGACTAAAGGAAGTCAAATAATTTGCTTAAGGCCACTGAATTATGAACAAAATTTAAATTTAGGATGTGAGGGCGATCTGGCTGTGACATCTGTCACCCCATTGATCGCCAGGGTTGATTCGGCTGATCTGGCTGGCTAGGCGGGTGTCCCCTTCCTCCCTCACCACTCCATGTGCGTCCCTCCCGAAGCTGCGCGCTTGGTCGAAGAGGATGACCATCCCCGATAGAAGAGGACCATTCTTCGGTCAAGGGTATACGAGTAGCTGTGCTCCCCTGCTAGAACCTCCAAACAAGCTTTCAAAATTTAAGTTTAAAACAGGACCATGGGGCTTCAAAATGCAAATCCTTACCTAAATTATCTGTTGGATAAGACCCATGACATAGAGTTTATTTGTGCTACCTTTATGCATGTGGGGTAACTTGCTTAGCTTATAGCCTATGTTAGTAAAGTGCACTGACATCTTGCTTTTTTAGGATTTTGTCTTATTAATATTTTCCTCAGCTCTGGGTGCTAACCACAGTCTCATAACATATAAGTAAAAATGAAAAGGCACATTATGGTGAAAAACTTCATTTAACCAGAAACTGCATAGTGTGGAGAATAATCAGAAATGAAGATCTTAATCCAAATTTGAATCCTCAAGTCTTACTTTCTCCACATCTCCCAGGCCCTCGGTGTCGAGCAGTACTAGGGTGTGGCCTGGCTTCCTGGGATGAGGCACACACCACATCCAGATTCCTTTGGTGTGAGACTGCACTGTGGAGCCCAGAGAGAAGCCTACAAGTACAGAGGATAGGATTATGGATGGATATTTACTAGCAGGTAGTTCTGGAAATTGACATAAATGTTATCATAGTCAAGTTTCGAAGAGATAACTGAGACCACAGCCAGACCACTATCTGAGAAGTAATACAAATTAGAAAATCCAATACACGAAAAAATTTAACACTTTTCTGATTTAAAAAATTCAACAAGCTAGAAATGGAAGAAAGTTACATCAACACAATAAAGGGTATATGCATGAAAATCCACAGCCTAAATCATGCTAAATTGGTAAAAGACTGACAGTTTTTCCTCTAAGATCAGAAACAAGAGAAGGGTGCTCACTTGGTTCCTTGTGTTCAACACAGTACTGAAGTTCTATCTTCAAAGGTAATAAAAGGAAATATAAGGCACCCAGATTGGAATTTGTTTGTTTTGTTTTGTTTTTTAGTGGTACATGGGTTTGAATTTAGGGCCTTATTCTTTCTAGGCAGGTACTCTATCACTTGAGCCACTCCCCCAGCCCTAAGGCACCTATATTGGAAAAGAAGTAATATGATCTCTACTAACAGATGAGATGACATTTTATGTAGGCAATCTTAAATATTCTACAAATGACTAAGAGCTAATGAATGAATTTGGGAAATATGCTGCATATCAAATCAACATGAACTAGTCAGTTATATTTCTATAAACTAACAGTGAACAATGTGAATAGGAATGCACATTTACAGTATGCTTAACCAATAATAAACCATTTGGTAGTAAACTACTTTTTATTAAACTTAGGGATATGTACTGAAAACCACATGTCATGGTTAAAAGAAATTTATGAAGACACATAGAAAAACATCCTATGTTAATGGAAGAGTTAATATTCTTACAATGTCACTACTTACCAATGTGATGTAAGATTCAAAGAATCTATGTCAAAATTCCAATGGATCTTTTGTAAAAGTAGAAAAATCCACCCTAATTTTTATATTAAATCCCCCAAATAATAATAAAAATGATAAAACATTAAAATGGAAGTGCAAATTTTGAGGTTTTGCACATTGTGAATTCTCATACTTACTACAAAACTGTGGTAATTAAAATGGTGATATTGGTAGAAAGACTAAAATATAAAACTGAAGTCAGGAATGAGACAAAGGTGTCCAGTCTCTTGACTCTTATTCAACATAGTGCTTGAATTCTTACAGCAATAAGGCAGAGGAAGAATAAAAAGGATACAAATAGGAAAGGAGGAAGTCAAATTATCCCTATTATAGATATGATTCCTATACTTCATTCTCTTTCTTGCTCTCTCCTTTTTTTTTAACGGTACTAGGGATCAAACCCAGGGATCAATGGAAACTTCTTATTATTACATGAACATTTTAATAAGTCTTACAATTTTTAATATGTAAATTAATTATTTTTATTACTGCCTTTCCTTCTTCTAGGAAAGGAACAATTAAAGCTGTTAAAAGGGAGACAAAGGCATTGTGGGACAAGGAGGTGAACAGACTCTTCTACCCAAGAACACGAGGATAAAATGCCAAACTGTGAATGGGTGTGGGAAAGCACAGCTGTAATTCCAGCACTTGGGAGGCTGAGGCAGAGGGATCACAAGTTGGAGACCAGCTTGAGCTGTATAGCAAGATCCTGTTTTTTTTTTAAAAAAAGCCCAACTGTGAGTGGAAGAGTGACCTTCCATAGTCCTCCCCTTCTCTACCTACATCTCCTCATATCACATGATGGATGCTGACAGTGTGGGTGGACAAAGGGGACACAGCAGAACTTTGTTGGTGGCACTCACCCTTTTTCTTCCCAGCCAGCTTGTTCATCAGGTAGGATTTGCCTGTGCGGTAGAGGCCCACAATAGCCACCACCACGACAGGCTGCGTGATGGCAGACAGGATGTCCAGGGCCTCCTGATTAGCCAACAGTTGTCCTTTAATGTTCTCAATGAGGCACACAGGGCCTGACATGTGGATCTCAGAGGCCATGTCCAAGGTTGTCACTTGTCTGCAAGGAGAGGTGGAAAGAATTAGAATTCCCAGTCTGCTTCTCTGAGACACGGGAGAGCTAAAATTCCCCAAGCATGAACAAAAGTGTTATGTGCATCAGTAAGAAGGATAGGGAAAAATCTGTCAGTTTAGAAAGTTACGGAAGTACTATCAAAGTAGTTCTTTAAAAATGTTGCTGTAACAATGATTTATAAACTTTCAGCTGTCCTCAGAACCAAATGTTCAATTTATCATCAAAATCTTTCCTTTAGTATTGTTAAAATTTTCACATGACATCAGATAGAAACTAGAGTAGGTTTTAAAGAATTTATTTTCCATCCTAGCTATATGTAAGAAGTTAAATATTGATGTATTCATTCATTACCTTGTATAATGACTAAAGACTCTCAGGAATAATTATTTCATTATTTGATATATGACCTTGGGTTAATTTCCAGGGATTTTTAAATGTGTTTTTTCCTCCCACCTCAAGTATTTATGCTTATTTCATTGGCATGGGAATCCACAGAACTCACTATTATCATTTTAGAAGAGGAATCAAAACAACTTACTTTTGAAAATTTTATGAACTACATGACCATGGGTTTACATAACTAGGAACCTTTCCTTGGAATGGGCCAGTGCAAGCACAGTGCCCTGAAAATTAGCTTCACAGAAAAGTACCTTAAATCCAGAGAGAGGATAAGTGCACAATTGCAAATACTGAATGTTGCAGGAAATAAGTAAGGATTAAGAAACAAGGAAGCAGATCGGGAAAGCTAGATAAGAAATTATTCAAAGAAAATGTCTGTTTCCAGATATATGCTTTTAGGTTTTCTGTTTTATTTTCCATTTGGTAGAGGAGAGGAAGGAGAAATGGGAAGAGGGGGGGAGAACAGGAGTGAAGAGCAAAAGATCAGGAGCTGACCAGGAGAGAGTTGTTAGTTTGGAAGGTGATGAGTGAGACTGGGGCCCAGCTGGGTCAGGGGAGGAGTTTCCAGAATGCAGAAACTGTCAGAGATCAAGAGGAGGCCAGGGTAAGCAAAGGTGCTACCTAGGGCTGCACTGCAGGAGGTTATTTAGAGGAAGTCTTAAATAAAGCCCAGCAGCCACATTCCAGGGCAAGGGCTAAGAGGTGAGTAGGCTCTGAGAAATTAGTGTCTCTGCATCAGGTCTGAGGGAGGAACTCCACTTTGAAGACAAATTCAGATACAAGATTAGAAAGGATGCCGGGCTGATCATTTTTCATTCGGGGTTCCAGGTTTTTCTCTCTAATCTTAATAGTGTTGGTGGCTGTTTACTCTGCATCTCTTTTTCCTTCCTCTGAAAGTAACCCAAAGGCCGTTTAGTTTCTCAGCTGCAGTATGAGCAGGGCTGAGCAAGCTCCATGAGTGACCCTGGTCAACAGAGACAACGTTAACAAAGAGAAAGATCCTGATGTGTTCCCACCCTCAGTCAGCCAATGACTGCTGGTGCCTAAGATAAAACAAACCCAGTTGTAGCATTCAGAGACCTGCTGTCCTGATACATCCATATTTCATCTGACCCCAGGTCGCACAGTAGGCAATATAGGCCCCAGGTCCATGACAGAGCCCCTTCAGAGCTAGAGAAGCAAGTGTTCTTACCTGCACTCTCCCTGGGTTGGAGTGGAATGACTTCTCTCCTCTCTGAATCTCACAGGGTTATCAGGCTGTTATTTTATCCTCCAGTGTTATGAGGCTTTCTGGACTTCCCCAAGTGATGAAAGAATGAAAAGTACAGCACTGAATTACAGTAATCTGAAACTGAAAGTGCTTAGTGAATCAACAAGTATAAAAGTGACTTCTGGAACTGTGCTAGGGGAGGGTTGACGGATTGGTCAACCAGAACCCTCATATTTTGTTGGAAGAGATCTTTGAAAGCATTTGCTGTTTTAAAAAACTGTCCTATAGATATAGAATTGATGGGATTTTTCTCAAAGTTGGAGGTCAGTTCCAGCACCATAGAATGAGAAAGTCTAATTTTTAAGTCTAATGTTCAGATTAAGAAACCAATTCACAATGGAGCTGGTCAGTCTTTTAGAGATGCAGTAAGTGAGGGAACGGGCACAACTTACATGTTGCTTATATTCAGTACAGTCAGAAGGAGGTGCCTTGTATTTTACAGGTGTTCTAGGCTCAGAGGTGACTGTTTTATGTGGATTCCACGACTTACATCTTTAACAAATATTGCCCCATGATTTTATAGAAAATGAGTCACAGATACACTTTATCAGTTGTGTAAAATCATAGCATTATACTTTGAATCCAAGAAATCTTGTTTCCAAAGCTGCTTCTTGAACTATCCCCACCAGGCTGCTTCTATGTTTGTTGAGCAAATAATAGTAAAGGCTTTCATTTTACGTTATTTGCAAGAGCTTCATAACTAGCACATGATAAAAGCGAGAGCACACAAGGGAGGGGTGAGGATAGGTAAGACACCTAAAAAACTAGCTAGCATTTGTTGCCCTTAATGCAGAGAAACTAAAGCAGATACCTTAAAGCAACTGAGGCCAATAGGAAAAGGGGACCAGGAACTAGAGAAAAGGTTAGATCAAAAAGAATTAACCTAGAAGGTAACACCCACGCACAGGAAATCAATGTGAGTCAATGCCCTGTATAGCTATCCTTATCTCAACCAGCAAAACCCCTTGTTCCTTCCTATTATTGTTTATACTCTCTCTACAACAAAATTAGAGATAAGGGCAAAATAGTTTCTGCTGGGTATTGGGGGGGGGGAGCGGGAGGGGGTGGAGTGGGTGGTACGGGAGGGGGTGGGGGCAGGGGGGAGAAATGAACCAAGCCTTGTATGCACATATGAATAATAAAAGAAAAATGAAAAAAAAAAAAGAGCTTCATAACAGAAACTCAGTCCTGACTACAATCATGGAGATAAATGGTAATTTTCTCTTATTTCAAAATGCAAATGAGAACTCTGGGGGGTGTGCTATGCTTTGGATATAGCTTGAGTGTGGCTCCCAAAAGTTTGTGTGGTGATATTCAAAGGTGGTGGTCTAGGTGATTATAATTTTTAGAGAAATTAATACTTTTCTTGGGGCTGTGTTTTGTAGTTATTGTGGGAAGTCCCACAACTCTTATTTTTTATTGTTGTGTTGGGTGGGATTACATTGTTTTTTTTTTCAAGTTAGATTCCTCTTTTTTTTTTTTTTCAGTGAAAGTAACAGTAAAGTTTATTAGGAGAGGAGCAGGGGGGAGAAAAGAGAGAGAGAAGCATTTCCTGTTCACCATGCAGGAAATGGGAGCAACCACTCCTGGTCCCTCTTTCCTTCTGTCTCACCATGGGACATCTCTCTCCCTCAGATAGATCTTCTTGCCATGGTGCCACCGTGTTGTAAAAACCCAAAATACCCTCATCAGAGGCTGAACAGACAAGGCCACGCAATCCTGGACTTTCAGCTTCTAAAACTGTTTACAAATCACATCTGTTTTCTGTATAAAATATGCAGTCTTAGCTGGGCACCGGTGGCTCATGCCTGTAATCCTGGCTACTCAGGAGGCAGAGATCAAGAGGATCCTGGGTAGAAGCCAGCCTGGGCAAAATAGTTGGTAAAACCCTACCTCAAAAAAAATCCTTCACAGAAAAGGGCTGGTGGAGTGGCTCAAGGTGTAGGCCTTGAGTTCAAACCCTAATACCACAAAAAAAAAAAAAAAAAAAAAGAAAAAGAAAAAATGCAGCCTTGAGTATTTTTTCTTCTTTATAGCAACACTAAACTGAGAGGCTAAGTATATCATGTCAAAATACCTGAAGCAAGTCCCATGATGAAATGCAAATTTTAAACACCAGTTAACTTTAAACTCTACTCTATTGGTCCTTTAAGGAAATGGTCTTGAGAAGAGAGGTGGAAGGGAGAGATTTGCCAGGTCCTCTGACAATCATTCCACACTCTGGAGTTGCTTCATTCCAGTGCAGGTATCAGTATATGGAATTTTATGGAATTTGACAAATACTGTCTTTTCTTTTTCATCACTGATGTGCTCTTTTTAAGTATCTCTGGGTAAGTAGTATTTTAATTTGCTTTAGAAATTAATATTTGGTGTAGTCTTTTAGTTGCTGGAACACACCCACATTCTTCTTACCTTAGGCATATTTGTACCAGCAATTTTCTGCATCTGAAGCTTTCCTACCCTTTACCTTGGGAAGGCTAGTTCTTTCTTGTACTTGCGGTCTCTGTAAATTGGCATATTCTCAGAAGAATCAGCCATGGCTCTGCTTTCAATTTCTATCACATTTTAACTTCTATTTTCATTTTCCTTCTGACTTCCTGAAATTCAAGCTCAAAATGTAAGGAACTTCATGCATTCAAAGATGAATCCCCTATCCAAAACAGGGCTTGGCAGAAGATGTAAGGAAACTCAATGAATGTTATATGTGGCTAAATATAAAATGGCCCTGAATGTGGAATAAACCCCACAATTTTGACAATTTTAAGGTATAAACTTTGAAGTGTCAAAGAAATAGTAAAATGCCAATGTAAAGCATTTGTTAACTCCGTTACATATACATATCTAAAATTACATTCACATATACATATAATACATGTGCATTATTTTCCCTTACATTTAAAAATAGCTTTATTTCCTATCCTTCCTTCCTGTTTTAGCTTCATCATTCCTAAGGCTATTTTAAAGTCATTTAGCTTATTTTCAAAAAAAAATCCTTACTGCTGTCAAAATTATTTGAACCAGAACCATTTAAAATCACTGTAAATTATCCTAAAAGAAGACATCAGCAACGAAACATTTCTTCCAGAAGGTCTGTCACTCCGGAGTGATTTGCAAGTCTAGCGCTTGAGTCATGACCTGCTTTCTCCACATCTCAAGTGCAGTTTGACTCAAGCTGTACTCCTGCTGTGTTTGGCTCACTCTATGGGGATCCCTCTTCATTTCCAAGTAGGGACAAGAGACCCTATTGGAGGGCAGGCCACGAGCACTTCTTGAACCTCCAAGATGTAGAGACTAACTTCCTGGTGAGTGTGACCAGAGGCCAGCCCTACCATGGCAGGCTGAGAACACCTGACCTGGTCACCCTCACTCTGGTTCACATTTGGGGTGCACTTTCCATGCTGAGAGAAACCAGTGTAGCAAGACCTGCAATCTCCACCCTTGTCCAATGGAAGGAGCATAAGCTCAGACATTTTGCCAGGGAAAGAGGCAGTCTATAAAGACAGAGAGTTCTAGGGTGTGTGGGGGTGGGGGGTGGATAAAGGAGAATGATGGAGGGGATGAATTCAACTACGATGTAGTGTAGCAACTTTTGTAAATGTCACAATGTACCCCTAGCGCACTAATAATGATAATAAAAAAGTTGAAAAATGAATCTAAAAAAAGAAAATGTCTGCCTGCCAAATATCAAAATCTGAAGAACTATAAAAATATTAAAAAGACAGAAAGCTCTGAAGGGCTTCCCAAAGAAACTGACTTTATTTGAAGTGGCGTGTGGGGGAACTCAAATCCAGAGAATTGAAAAAAATTGTTGCCATCATATCTACTTTACAAAAAATACTGTAAGAATGTTTTCAGACAGAAAGCAAGTGTTCCTGGACTGTAATACAAATCTACAAGGGAAAACAAAGAACATCATTAAGTGAATTAAGTTAACGTAAAAAAGTATAAATGCATATTTAAGAAACAATTGTATAAAATGCTACATATATAATTGTACTGCATGGCCTGATACATATATAATTGTATTGTACTGACATGTCAATGGCATGCTTTAATAGGCAAATACTGATTATTTCTGGCAAAGACCATATATTTATATAATTATTTTTACCATATTTATGTCTCATAGTACATTGGCTACTTTGAGAAAATGCAGTTGGATTTAGTGTGATAACTTGAAGCAAAATGTGTTTGTTGTCTACAATATGTCGGGTATTGTTCTGAATTTTTACTGGTGTTACTGATTTTTCCTTCTGTATTTACTTATGATATAGCCATTATGATCTGCATTTTTTGATCAACAAATGCAGTTTAAAGGAGATTAATGTGTTTTAATAGCAGTTTTTTGGGTCACAGTGTCCTGACTGTTGCTTCATTTGGGTTTTCCTCAAATGTTGAGTCAGTGTGTTAAAAGAAGTTCAAATTAAGATCCTTTCTGTTTTGCCAAAGTGGACTGACTCTTTCTGCTAATGTGTTTCCTCTCCCTTTATTCTCCCTAAGTTGAAGTCTGAAGAACATTCTAATAAATGAAAAGTTTCAGGACTTTGTCCACTTCTATTCATGAATAGAAGATTTCTGGAGTCACTTCAGGACAACTTGAAACTATTTTCATTTTGCACAAACCTTAAATTGAAAGTGAAAGCAGGTAAGCTTTTAGTTTCTTGGAAATAGATTAGATAGAGGAAAATCCTTTTTAGGTACAGTAATTGAGAGTACATTTGTGTAGTTTGTTAATCTAGCTAAGGGTTTGTCAATTTTGGTTTTACAAAAAAAATAAAACAGCACTTAATTGTGTTGTTTATCTTTAATATATATCCGTTCTAATCTTCATCATTTCCTTCTTTCTATTAATTTGGGCTTAGTCTGTTCTTTTTCTAAATTCCTTTAAAGGTAATGTTAGGTTATTTATTTGACATAGTTCTTTTATAGGTAGGTGTTCACTACTATTAAGGTATACTTTTTGTACTGCATTCACTCCATCCCCTATTTTTTGATAGGTTATAATTTTGTTTGGTTTTGTCTCAGAGTTTTTTTTTTGAGATAAAATCTCTCATTGTGCTGCTCAGGCTGGCCTAGAACTCACAACTCTCCTGCCTCAGGCTCCTAAATACTGGGATTGCAAGCATGTACCACCGTGTCCACCTTTCAAGACAATTTTTATTTTCTTCCATGGCTTTTTCTTTGATCCATTATTGTTTAGGAAAAATGTTTAATTTTGATAAATTGTGGACTTGCCAATTTTCCATGTACTATCAATTTCCAGATTCATTCTATTGTGATAAGACAAGATACCTTGTGTGATTTTAATCTTCTTAAATATGTTAAGACTTTTTTTGTGGCCTAACACGATATAACCTGGGGAATATTCCATAAGTACTTAAAAAAAAAAGAAGAATGTGTGTTCTGGTAGAATTGTAATGAATGTATAATGTTCATTACACCCAAATGTTCTATAATGCTGTTCATATCCTGTGTTTCTTTATTGACCTTCTTTTTGGTTATTCTATTATTGAAAGTATGGTATTGAAGTTGTCAATTATTGTGCTATTTATCCCTTCAATTCTGTAGTGTTTGCTTTATATAGTTTAGAGCTCTGTTGTCAGGTGCATAATCTTTTATAATTAGTATTTCTTCCTGGAGTGCTGATTTATTGTATCCTTCTTGGTCTCTTTTGACAATGTTTGACTTAATGTCTCTGTAATCAGATACAAAATTTATGCCCATTCCTACTCTTTTTTGGTTACCATTTGCTTGGAATATCTGATTTCATCCTTTTACTTTTAGCCTGAATTTTTTTTTCCAGATATATTTTTAGAGTGATTTTTAGATCTCTTACAGACAGCATATAGTTGAATGTCTTTTTAAAAAAATTCCATACAGCAAATCTAGGTCTTTTAATTTGGGTAGTTTATTTACATTTAAAGTAATTACTGAGAGGGAAAGACTTACTATAATATATTGTTAACTTTTACTTTATGTATTATTGAATTAACATATTATAAAAACATAAAAAGTTCATTATGTGTGTGTTTCTAAGCAGACTTGAAATGCTTATTGGGACAGATGTGTGACTACAAGAATTTAAGTATTAGCAGAAACCTAAGTAATAGAATGTGATCAATTACTTTGTGTATTTGTTGTTTAAAGAAATATTCTGAATATAGGGAAGAAAACAGAATATGGGAAAGATTAGAAGTGGTAACATAAAAATCTGGGCTGGGCTGTTGTAAAGAGAAAGGCTTGTAGTTCATTCTCAAAGTTTGTGATTAGTAAGGAAAAATTAAGAGAAAAGAACTTCTGGGTTGGGTAGGTAGCTCAGTGTTAGAACACTTTCCTAGTGTGCACAGGCCCTGGATTTTATGCTCAGCACCATGAGAAAATAACACAATAAAACAAATGAAAAACAGGAAAAAGACCCACACAAAAAAGTAACTTCCCCTGTCCACATATTCAACAAAATCTACTACACTGGAATGTGATTTTTCAATTGTCTCTGCTTTAGGAATGAGGGCTGCATGATGTACTGTGTCCCACCCTGTATCAGAATGAATTGAAAGGTGGGAGGCCATCAGCATCACAGCTGCAGACTTGGAGTGGCCAGTCAGAGCCCCAGCATGTTTTCAGCTAACACTAGAAAACCTCCCACATTCTGCAGGAGAATAATGGAACTCATCTTCATTTTCTCTTTCCTTTGAAGGGTATGGAGTTTATTTATTTGAATTATTTGAGTACTGTGCTTTTGTTCTAGTGGTTGATTCTAATGGAACAAAGAAGTCATCACAAACTAGTATACAATAAGATAGTTCTGCAGGTGAATTCTCTGGGAAGCAAATGGTGTGGAAGTCCCTATTAGATATTTTGGGCTGTCCTTAGTTCAGTAGTATGCCTCATCTCTCAGGTCAGGATGTCTTGGAGGTTGGGCTCCTTGCTTTCTTTGATATAAGCACTGGAGAATGAACTAGAACTGATGTATTGCCAAAACCTGGAGATAGTCTTGAAAATCTTACAGGCAGCCTACTTGTTTTAATGGACAAACACAAATATTGTATTTGTACTGACTAGCTCCTCAAGAACACACAGCTCCAAATGATTATGTTACAAAGACTGTTAAAAGCAGATACATAAGTAACTAACATCATTTTTCTTAATAAAAATCACTAAAAATTGTGTCATGCCATTAAGCATGACTATTGGATTATAAACACCTTTTTCAATATAGCAGTCATTAAAAACCACAACATGTTCACTCTACAGATCTGCCAAATGGGAAAAGGCAGATTATATTGTGGTTTGATGAGCTGTGAAGCTCTTGCAATGCTCATATACTAGTGTTGTGAATATAAATTAATATAGCTATGAAAATTATTGACAGTATTTACTTTTCCTAAACATTGGCATTAATAGAAGGTCATCACTAGATATCCACATGAAGAATATGCACATTTGTAAACTAAAAGATATGTGTAGAAATGTTCGTAAGAGCACTGTTCATAATGGTCATAAACATGAAAGTATTTGATGATAATCAGGAGTTGAATGCATAGATAATTTATTTTTTAATATAATTGACCTATAGCTATACACAGAAATATAGTATTTATATAGTATAGAAATATAGTATTCCCACATGTATACTATTGAGAATACAAGGTACTAAAAGTATATATTTCATTATTGCATTGAAATAAAGCACACAAGCAGGATAGAGATTACTGTTGATGATGTGGGAGGAGATGGTAGATTCTGACAGGCAGCATGAGGAGGGCTTAGGGGAACTCACATTCTGATATTTTTGGGGTGCTGGAACTGTAGGTGTATTTCATTTGTGAAAAAGTCACAGAGCTGAATATTTATAATGTGTATATTTTCATGCATGTGTGTTTATAGTTCAAAGAAGTTTACTTACATCCTGTCAAGGAATAAACTTAACAGAATATGTAAGGACTATACGCTGAAAGCTGCAATATTTGTGAAAGAATTAAAAAGTACTAAGTGGCAGGACATATTATGATCATGGACTGAAAGATGCATTATTTTAGGATTAGCACTTTTACAAATTATCTCTAGATTCAGTGAAACCTATTCATAATATGCAGAATTGTTTCACGGCACCTATAATGAAAGGATAGTCTTCTCTATAGAAGGTGTTGGGCCAATATTATATAAGCACCATAAAGAAATTAAACATGGTTTAGTATATCATGACAGTAGAAAATCAATTCCAGGTGGTCCATAGATCAAAACGGGGAAGACAAAATAACAGAATTAAAAAAAAAAAAGATGACATTATTTTTATGTTCTTGAGGTTGGAAAACAAAAAAAAAATTGGACTGAAAAAAGATTCATTAAATTTAACTATATTACAGTTGAGAAATGCTACTTAATCAAAGACAATTAAGAGAATGGAAAGGCAGATCAAAGATTAGAATATGTTTAATACACACACACACAAGTACACAAACATGTACATGCAGTATTTAATGCAATCTCAAATCAAGATAAAAGACAACTCATTAGAAATAGAGGCAAAAGTCTTCAGTATGCACATTAAAAAGAGAATGTCCTAGTGAGCAAAAGGATGGAAAAATGCTCAGCTTCCCTAATAATCCCTTATTCTCAAAGAAAAGCAAGTAAACCTATGAACATAATCTACATAATTACTAGAGTTACTGTAATTGAAAAAGCTGAAATGTCTAAGTGATAGCAAGAATATGGGGTATTGGGAATTCTTATATACTGTTGGTGAGTATAAATTGTCACAATCATATTGAAAAGCTGTTTCATATTATCTACTATAAAGTCAACAAATGCAGACAATATATATCAAATAACTCCACTCCTAGGTATCAGGAGTAAAATATTACAAAATCCCAAACTTGGATGAATTTAAACATGTAGTGTTGAGTTAAAAAAAATCAAAGAAAATAAAACATCCTGTATATTCCAATTTATAGTAAGAAAAATACTGGCTAATGCAAACATGGTATTAGGAGTCAGGTATGGGGGGGGAGATGATAGGAAAGACTTTTGGACATAAGGACACCATGGAACTGTGTGGGAAACCCTCAGGACCCACAAAGCCTCTTGGAAAGGAGTGGAGTCACTGTAGCTTTTGTGCGACAGCCCTAAGAGAGATTGCAACAGTCCAAAAGGATAGTTGCTGAACAGCCCTGTTCTCTCTCTGCCTGGGTCCTGAGAACATGGTGTTCTGCACGTGGGCTCGTAGCCAAAGCAATGTGACAGCCAATCCCAGTACAGAGGTCGAGGGAAACCTGGGGACTGCCACATATTCCTTCCTGCTTGTATGTACTGCTTAAATACTCTCTTCAGAAAATAAACTATGCCACTGCTGACCCGCACAACCCTGAGTTCATGTCATTATTATCCTCTTGAGCACCCAAGACCAGAGTCGGAGCCCCACTGCAGCTTGACCGCGGCAGAACTTGGAGTCTATTAGATCCTGCTTTCCTGCATGTGAAATGCCTCAAAGTTTAACAGTAAGAGTAGTGGTTAGGAAAGGGAGAGCAGGTGCTCTCAGTGAGAAGGGGACTGATACACCAAGGATGCCTGGAACAAGTGAGTAATGAGTAGGATGGCCTGAAGCCATGTGCTCCAAAGGCACTTTGTGTGTTTTGTTGTTCTTTTCTGCCTTGTGGTTTGGAAGATTAGGGTTGAGGACTTTAAGAAATAGGGTAAATGAGCTGGGGGCTTGTAGCTCACACCTGTAATCCTAGCTACTTAGGAGGCAGGGATCAGGAGGATCAAAGTTTGAAGTCAACCCCAGACAAATAGTTCACGAGACCCTATCTTGAAAAATACCCAAGACAAAAAAGGGCTGGTGGAGTGGCTCAAGTAGTGGAGCACCTGCCTAACAAGTGTGAGGTTGTGAGTTCAAACTCCAGTACCAGGTATACACACAAAAGAAATAGGATGAATGATCTGGACACCACAATGAAGAGGAAAAAGGACATCTAATGCCTGCTACCTCCAACTCTTTCATAATATGGATGTGGAAGAAAAATATAGTCACCACTAGTGGTAGGTACTGGCACACCAGGTTTGTAAACTCTTTGTACCTCTCTCAGCTTTGTGTGCTCCCAGTGCCCCTCTGTCACCAACTTGTCAAAGGCATAAAAATACTTAACTCATAATGTTTGTGAGGCTGGACTGAGGTAATGTACATAAAAGTCTAGATACACTGTTTGGCTCATATCTAAAACTTACATTTTCCTAAATTTAAAAAATTTTATTTGTTGTATAGGGGGAATTCATTGTGTCATTTCCAAATAGGCTTATATTGCATATTGGTTAGATCACCCCCATCATCTCTTCCACCGACCCCCTCATTGCCCCTCTTCAAGCAATTGTACAACGTTTCATTGTTCTATTTTGATTATGCAATATTCTTAATGATTTTTTTATTGTTGTACTGGGTGGGGTTACATTGTGGAATTTACAAAAGTTCTTATAACATATCAAATATATTAGAATTCACCCCCTCCATCATTCTCCAACGCCCCCCCCCCGGCCCAATTCCTGGAATAGTTTCAACAGGTATCACTTCTCCATTTACATATATGTGTACACACTATTTGCACCATATTCACCCTCCTACAACTTTTCCCACCTCATCCCCCTCCCACTGGTACCAACCCCCTCCCCAGGCAGGACCTGTTCCACTCTCCTGTTCTAAAATTTTGTAAAAGAAAAAAAATTGACATTTTTGCTTGTTTAAGATAGCTACACAGGGAGTTTCCTTGTTCCTAGTATTTTCAATGAACTATTAAACATCAAAATGCATTTCCCAAACTTAATTAAATTTTATTCTCCTTCTGGAAAAGTTTTAAGACCACAAAGTGTTTTTTTCAGCAGGAACAAAGAGTTTATTGTGAGGACACAGGGAATCTCAAAGAAGGCAAATAGAGGTACCAAAGCTGGACCTTAGGTAAACCTGAAAGTGTTCAGGCACCTCCCCTCTTCCTTCCTTTCCTCTTCCCTCCTCAGACCAGCTTTACAACTTAATCATGTAGTTAGTAAGGACAGTCTCATTCTTAAGTCAGCATGGCTTCTCAAATATTTAGAGTGAGCTGATGCAGTCTCCAAGTGCCCCAATACTATAGTTCTCCAGGTGATAAAATCTGATTGCACCTCTTTGAGTCACATGCCCATACCTCATCCAATCAGTAGTGGCTATGATGCTCCTTTCTGGCTGTGAGTGGCCCTGGCATTCAAAGCAGAAGCTGAAGTTGGGGGTAAAACGAACAACTTTGACAAGAATAGATAAAAAGAATCTTCTCTTGCCTTAATTTTATATTTTATTTCAAAAACAGTAATATTCTTAGTCCTAAAATTTTATTGTCTTAAGATTTGCCCATCTTAGTTTCATGTTGAAACTTTTTCCTCCCAGATGTTAAAAATTGCCACATCTCATTGATCAGAGGAAAAACATGAACATGTATTCAACAAAATGCATGCTTAATAATTATTTGTGATCCATCACACATGGACCTTAAAGAGAAAACATGTGTAATGCATGGTTTTAGTGTTCATTTTATTAGTCACACAAAGGGGTTACACAGTGTTCTTACACATGCATGTGTTGTACATTGACCACATTAACTCCCTCTGTTGTTCTCTCTTTTCTACATTCCTCCTCCCCTTGTTTTTAATAGCTTTCCATGAGTTGCCTTGTGCCACTTTCATTTGTAGGCACACTGTATTTTACCATTGTTCTCCCCCATCATTCTCTTTCCAATCCCCCCCAACCTCCACATTTCCCCCAGACAGTCCATCAATTACAGTCATTTTTTGTATGTATGGATATATGTATGTATGTTTATCTATCTATATATATTAGTCTAGACTCTGCATATGAAGGGGAACATGTGACCTTTGTCCTTCTGAACTTGGCTTAGCTCACTTAACATGATGATTTCTAGTTCCATCCATTTTCCTGCAAATGCCATAATTTTATTCTTCTTTATGACTAATACTCCATTGTGTATGTCTAGCACATTTTCATATCCATTCATTGGTTGAAGGACATATAGGCTGATTCTAAAGCTTGGCTACTGTGAATAGTGCTGCAACAAACATGGGTGTGCGAGTGTCTCTGTTGTGTCTTGACTTATTTTCCCTTCAGATATATGCCCCAAAGTGGTATCATAGGTCTTAAGGCAGCTCTGTTTTTGGTTTGAAGAACCTCATACTTCTTTCCATAGTGGCTGCACTGATTTACAGTTACACCAACAGTGTAATGGTTTCTGCCCCCCTCCCCCCATCCTTCCAGCAGCTAGGGTATTTTCA